TTCAGATCTCACTAAGAACTTTGGGTAAACCGTAAGCCCCACGCCCTAGACAGTAAACATCCCTACCCTAAACCCTGTAACGCCTAGAAGCCCTGTAACCCTAACACACACCATAAATCCAGGTCACAGAGCAGGTGGCGTGCAGTGACCGGACGCCTCGCAACCTGGCAGTTGAGAAGTTTTGGGATTAGGGTTTAGGGGATTTGGGAATTTCCCAAAACAGGGGACCCTAATATAGTACCCTAAATAATAGGTTCCTTATTATAAGGACCCCAAAATAAGGTACCCCCTATTTTCGGAAACTCCCATTTGGGTTTAGGGATTAGAGGGATTAGGGTTCAGGGGATTAGGGTTTAGGGTTTCAGGGGTTAGGGGTTTGGGGGATCCGGGTCTAGGGTTTAAGTTCGGGTTTAAGGGAGTTAGGATTTAGGGTTTAGGGTTTAGGGTTTAGGGTTTAGGGTTTAGGGTTTAGGGCTTAGGGCTTGGAGTTTAGAGGGTTAGGGGTTTGTGGGTTTAAGAGGTTCGGGTTTAGGGTTTCGGGGGTTCGGGTTTAGGCTGCTTCACGTGTGCGTAGTCAGCAGGTGTTTAAGACTTCCTCGGCATCCGGCAGGGTTGAGGATTTTGGCTTGTCACAGATCCCAAATAACCTACCTTGTTAAGGACTTATATAAGAAGCTCACATCAAGAGGCCTTTTAATAAATTCTGTCTTTTGAAGATCTTACATAAACTCTTCGGATTTGACAAGAACCCTCTCTTTAAGGACTTATATACACGATAAGGATTTACTAAACAAAACCACTCTTCTTAAGGACTTAGATAATTCAAAAGGGAACCTTAAAGAAAGGAGGGTTTTGTAGGGTCCAGGGTAGGGCTGAGTCGAGTTCAAGCTTCTCTGAACTCCTCTGGGGCCTTCATGATTAGAATAGTAATAGGGTTCCTTTAGGGTTTAGGGTTTAGGGTTTGGGGTTTAGGGTTTAGGGTTTGGGGTTTAGCGTTCCTTTAGGGCTTTGGGTTTAGGGTTTAGGGTTCCTTTAGGGTTTAGGGTTTAGGGTTTAGGGGTTTAGGGTTTAGGGTCCTTTAAAAGGGATCCTTGAAGGAATATTATGAAGGCTCTATGAGGATATAATAGAGGGGCCTTAATAATCAGAATAAGTTTTAGGGGCCATTATACGATAATTATACAAGGGAAGCCAGTAAGTAAACCCTAAACCTATAGAGCCGTTATAGAACCTTTGGAGAACTCTTACTTGTAGAACCCTTAAAGGAAGGCTTAAAGAAAGTCTGAAACCCTGGCCCTAAACCCTAAACCTGGTGCAAGATGAGACAAGCGGCTGGTGTTGAACACATCGGCTATCCCCACCAGCAGCAGCATCTCCCCAGGTAACCACACTGCCATCTCCACGAAGGGCGGCGAACGCCGCGGCCGTTGAACAGACCGTCGACACATCGCAAAGCCCGCCAGAAACGCCGCTACTGTCTCCACCAAATTCTGCAGCACCCCATGTCACAACCCTCCCATCAGAGCACACTGCCGCACAGGCACCGTAGGACATGCTCATCTGCTGCACCTTTTTCAGTTGCCTTCGCACCGCGCTACTGTCTCCACCATGATCCTGGCCGGCCGAAGTATGCACGAGGACTGAAACAAATCATCAATTCATTTGTTCAGGCTTTGGTGTTCGCAAAACCCTACACCGCACAAACTCTCGAAGTGCTAATGTCCACCCTGACTCCCTGGCTTAAAAGTCCCCCATTGTTCCGATAATTTGTAATTAACTAAGACCATCATGAAGCTACCCTAAACCCTAAACCCTAAACCCTAAACCCTAAACCCTAAACCCTAAACCCTAAACCCTAAATTTTGAAGAAAAGCAGCTTCCGAACCCGGGGCCTGCAATGCCTGCATCGTTTAACAATATCTGACCTGCCGTGAGCCCTAAGCCCTGTAAACAAGTTATGAAGATGGGTACCTGAATAAATAGAACAACCTTTCGCCATTGTGACATATATCATAGTACAACTATATTATATTGCCTCCTCTTCGACGGCAGCGAATATTGTCAGATAAGGGGCTGGAAATGACTAGAAAGGGGTTTGGGGTCATATTGTCCTACACTTTCAGTCGGAAATAAGGGGATAACTATTACGAACGATACCGAGCCCTATCGTAAACCCATACTCTAAACCCTAAGCC